ATCATTCTTCTAGTAACTGGGCTCATAGCCTTAGTTTCATCACCAACTCCTCACTCACTCACTGCATTTATCCAAACTGTTGCCAAATCTTGTGTTTTCCTCTTTTACAACGTCTCTCATATGTATCCTTCTCTCCACCCACAAAGCCACCACCCTGGAAAAGGCTTTCCATCTCACTCCTGGACTACTGTCGTAGTTTTCTGGTTGGTCTTCTTGCTTCAAGTCTCTTTCCAGTTGCAGAAATGATTTTCTTAAAATTCAGGTCTAACCGTGTTTCCCTATACTTATAAGCTCCGGTGGTTCTCTATTAGCTCCAGAATCAAATATAAAGGTTTGACATTTAAAGCCCTTAACAAGCTGTCTCCTCTCTAACCTTTTTATGCCTTCCTCCCCTCCATATATTTTATATTCCAACTTTACTGGCCTATTTACTGTTCCTCACGCATAATTGATCTTCCATCTCATAACTACATGCCATTTTATTGGCTGTCCCCCATATCTGAAACGCTCTCCCTCCTCGCCTAAGTGTTTCCTTCAAGACTAAGCTCAAGTTTGATTTTCTGTAAGAAGCCTCTTTCCTAGTCTCTTCCACTGTTAGTGCCTTCCTTCTGAGATTAACTTCCACTTATACTGTGTAGATCTAATGTGTACAATTATTTGCATGCTATTTCCTTCATTGTGAACTCCTTGTGGACTGGCTGTGTATTTTTGCCTTTTCTTTTTATCCTCAGAGTTTAGTACAGTGCCTGACACAGTTCTTAATAAATGGTTGTTGGATTTAATTGAGTGCCCCAAGGTGTTCCACTGGTGTCTCTAATGTTAGGAGAAAGCAAGGAAGGCTTCTAGCATGTTGGATAGGTGTAACTCTTATGGCAAACTTACAAGACAAGAGATAGTTTGCAGTCTGCCTCATTGGAAGCGTTCAAATGGATGAGATCACAGATTCATTTTGAGTATTTTGAGTATATTGAGTATTTTGAGAGAGGGCATATATTGATACAGACTATCTTAAATGTATAAATGGCAAATCCACAAAGAAAAGGCTCCTATATATTTCATTTAGAGAAAAAAAAATCTGAACGTGTTAGATAGCTTTTTTTAATCTAGAAATTAATTCAATTTCAGCAAACTTTTTAAAAACACCTGTTAAGTGCAAGGGACACTGGTAAGTCTAAGGATAGGAGGACTGAAAAAAGGAAGCAGTCCCTACTCTCAAGAATCTCGTCCTGGCCTGCGAGGAGATAACAAGTATATAATAAATACAAAGTGATTTCAGGCAGAGGAGAGCACTAGCAACTCAGGAAGTCAGAATATGTGTCCTAGAGCAAGCACCCAAGCTGAGCCTTGAAGGAAGAAAGTAGAGCTAAAATGCACTCATTTAATGTACATTTCTTCTAGTAAATCTGAGGATTTATTTTTCTAATTGTTCTCATTTGTATAAATTACATAGTATAATAGGATCTACATATGCCATTGGTAAATTGAGACTACAATTAGATTTGTGCTCCAAGAATCTTTGAACTCTAAACACAAGTCTCCCTATAATCTAGGAAAAATAGTTTATTTTAATACATGATGCTTATTGTATATTTTATTTGTCTGAATATTGAAGATATTGATTGTGTCTATACAATACCAAACATTCTGATGAAAAAATTAATTCAGTCATAAATGTGTTTATACCGTAACTAAAACATCTAGATGATTAAATGAATTCCTCATTTTTCAACTATGTATTGTCATTTTTGTCACAAGTAAGGCTGGGAAAACAGTGAGAAGTACCGTAGTTCAGGGCTGCATTGATGTTTTTAAAATAATTCCTAAATAAGGGGAAAATTTAATTTTCACTGGCTCTTATTGAACTGTATAGTTATGAACCTTACTATGTAAAAAGAAACTCATTTACCTTATCTGCTTAGTCAGAATTTTTGAAAGGGCATAGACAGTATGACTCACTACGTCACTGAACCCAGAATTAGTTAGTATTTTGATCCTGGCTCTGTCCTTTGTGTTTTAGTAAAGTTTGCTTCTTGATATGTGGTGCTATTTTCTTAACTACGTCATCAACTTGTAAGGAACAGCTAATTAAACACTATATAAATATGAAATGGTACATAAATGATTAACAATAATATCTTTAAGGTAAATTTACACCATTCATGGAGACAAGCTTTTTAATTACAAGGTACTTAATAAAACTTAAGCAAACTATGGTTAAATTTACTCATGTAGTCTGATTATTTGATTATTCTTTACGTTAAATTTCATAGTTTTTGTTGAAAAGACATTCAAAAAAGAGTGTTATGGTGTAGGAATTAGCACTTTTTAAATGTTGTTTCAGTGTGCTAAGTTAAGACATTGATTTTCACAAACTAAAGAAAGAGGGAGCTGCTGACTTGAGCACTTTTGGATAGGGTGGGATTCCATGTGGACTTTCCCAAGTAAATAGGCTGTAGCTCACTCAGTCTTTTAGGAGGAGATGAGGTTGTAGAAACCAGACTTTTCATTAGCAACACCAAAGTCATTGTCCTCACTCCTGAACTGATTTCCATTTCCCTTTAACCTATTCTTCTGGCCTTTTACCTTAACTGAGATTTATAATATACTTTAATATTTGTAGAGTGTTTTATATGCATTGTTTTATTTGAGTCTCACAGCAATCCTCTGAGGCAGGATGCCACCATTTACCCAGTTTTCTATATTTAGATTTTAGTGTTTTCTTCAACTCTTTCCCACACTTGACATATCTAATCTTACTAAATCCTATCAGTTGTACCTCCACAATATAACTTGTATTTGTTGTTTCTCTTCACACAGCCATCACCTGATGTAATCCCTAATTGCCACTCACCTGGAGAGTTGCAATAGCTTTCCAGCATGCCTCACGTTTACTGTCTTCTACCCTCAGACCATCCTTCTCATCACTGCCAGACTTGTTTTACTTACGCTATAAAGTTGGTCATGTTATTTGACTCCTCAGAACCTTCATTGACTCTTTATTACCTATTAACTCAAGTTCAAACTCTTGCCTAGCATTTAAGGCCTTCCACAATCTAGCACCGCTCTGCTTTTCTATCTTTATTAAATACTACTCTCCTCCACATATACTAGACTCCAGCCAAAATGAACTACTTGACACCCGTACTCCTACTTCCCATACAAATGGCCTAGTACCATGGAAAGAACACTGGATGCAGAGTGAGGGAACCTGGGAGAAAATCTTAGCTCTGCTTCTTATTACCTATATGACCTTCTGTAAGTCATTGAATTTCTATGGACATCAGTTTTCTCACCATTAAAATGAAGAGTTTGACTAGAATGATGTCTGATCTCCATTCCAGCTTCAAATCTGCTAACCTTATTGAGTCTACTTGGCTTTTGATTATGTTGTTTCCTATACCTAGAATACCCCCCCATCCCTGTGCCTTTCCATCTGTTGAATTCCTACCTGTCCTTTACAGTCTTTCTCCTTAAAATACTACCTGCTCTAGGAAGCAGACTTCACAAATTTCCTCTTCTGCCCCGCATTTTGGGAAAAGACCTTTAAACTCACGATCTCACATAGCACTTGATTTGAACATCAGTTATGAATTTGTGTTATTTTGTATTAGAGTCATTTATTTGTTTATGTAACAATTTGTTAGTCTGACAGTCAATAAAAATGAGAAATTACCTCCTTGGTATTTCTCAGTTGTCTTCTCCCACAAGCAGTGAATACATAAATCATAGTTACATGAATTTGACAGCTTTAATTGTTTAGCACTGACATGCTTTTGTCAAGTGGGGGCATCATTGGTCTTTCTTAACTAGGCTGCATGGCAAGAATGATTTGTTTCCCAAACCAAGTAATGACATTAGGATAAGTGACTTTGTCTTTTTTTCACCTTATTTTGGAAAGTCTTTATTCTGAATCTGAATTTAGCCATAGCCCGCATCTGTACTGATTTTCTTTTGAAATTAGAGCAAGATTTAAAATACCAAAAACTTTAGTGGTTTTCTTCAGTCTTGAATGTCTACCCTTAAAATAACTTATCCATGACATTTTAAATTGGAAGAATCCTTTTTTGGGTGTGAAACAGTACATTTTTGTTGCACTCAAGAAAACAAAAATGGCTCAAGTTTAAGATTAAAAGAGTAGAATAGGCATCTTTTTTATATAGCCTGGGTTTATTTTTACTTTGTCAGTATGTTATTAATGTAAGTTGATTAATTTGTCAGCAAATGTTATAAAGAAAAAGATGTTCTCAATATGTATTTAATTAGTTGCTGGTGTAAATCAAGTATACATTTATTCTTATTTAAATATTCACTTTCTACCTAAGTAAAATTCGCCTTCTCATAGAGAATCTGAAGAAACTGATAAACTGAGGGGAAAAAATAATTATGTGCTGCAGCTAACAACAGTTCACTGTTGCTAATAACTCTAAAATTGTTGTCCTCATTATTGTTTGTATATGATTATAATAGTAACAATGTTCATTTAGAATGTATATAAGATCACTGTATTAAAATATTTTACCAGTTAACCTTAGATCTCTCCACTACACTGGTAGCTCACAACTTAAGCTACATAGTAAACTTTGATTGGCTTTACTTTTGATCTACTCAGAAAAGAATTGTAGGAATATTTTTTTTTCATAAATGCAGGTTGGAAATTTTTCTAAGGGTGTGGAAGGTGCAGAGACTATGCGGTAGAAATGCCTTGAGTGTTTAAGGACTTTAACACAGTGTTTCTATCATTAAAGTTCTTGGCCTGTTCTCATATGTAAGTTTAAAATTCTGTAGATCTACATCCTCTAAGGGCAAATGCTGAGGGCCAAAAGTAGAGATAATAACTTGAGATATGTGTGCCTTTCTTGCAGGTTATAGTCATAAATTGACAGCTCTGAAGGACTGAAACTCACATCAAAGGATGCAGATCATCTAGTTAGGTCAATTATTGTTAATTTTCATCTTCCATTAAATTCTTTTAATGCTTTCCTCTGTACCTTTCCTTCTAGCCAAGCCCTATACCAAGTCCTGTTTTGGGGAGGAAGCCAAATGCTAGTCAGTCACTGCTTGTGTGGTGCAAAGAAGTTACAAAAAACTATAGGGGAGTGAAAATCACGAATTTTACTACATCTTGGAGAAATGGCTTATCTTTTTGTGCAATATTACACCACTTTAGACCAGATCTGATGTAAGTAAACACATTTTACTTTTCCAGTCAAGTGCTTTACATGTACTAGAAATAAGAAAATAACAACATTAAAACCACTACTTGACATGTCCTGAAATGCTTAACTATAAATTACTTTGAGCATTTTGTGCATTTTTGAGGAAACAGATTTATGCCAAACCTTGAAATCCCTTTTTTACCCCTCCTAAAAAGAATCTTTTCTCTACTTTAAAAATATGTTTCTTTTTCTTAATCTTATAAAAGAACAGACTTCAAGATGATTGTGAAAATTGTGTTAGTTTTGAAATGAGATGAGACAAATAAGCCTGTAGCTTATATATTGAGAACAAGAGATTACCTCATGGTAAATTTGGTTGCAAGGCTGTTCTCTAGTCTCCTGCACTAACTTTTTTTTTAGATGGAAAGCTTCAGGCAATGAAACGTGTATTTACTGTTTATTTATTTATTTGGTTTATTTATTTTCTGCAATATTAGTTTTGTTGATCAAATTGCTACGAAATTGCTGGTTACTATAGGATATCATTGTATGTCAGATGTTTAGATTTGATGTGTTTTAAAACTACCTCATTTATCAAATACTATACATACCCACTGTGCCATTTTCTCCCTCAGTGACTACAAGTCTTTGAATCCTCAAGATATTAAAGAGAACAACAAAAAGGTAAGACCTAATAGGAAAGGAAGGGGAAAAAAGATATGGCTTCAATTTTGACTTCACTGCAGGTTTTTATTAATTTTGGGAGAGTGAGGCAGTCTTGTAAGGTCATAACTGTAGTTTGCAGAAGCTATTCAGCCTCCTGCAGTTCAAATCGGACATAGTATTGACTCTGGTTTGTCATATTCTTTAACATTCACAAGTTCCAGGTTGGTATTAGAGTTATTTTTTGTAAGGCCTGTATTAATAGCTGAAAAGAAGGAGAAGAAGGGCTTATGGAGCTTTTCTTGACTTTTTTTCCTCTTTTAACCTAATTATTTTTAACTATTTTTTAGAATTCTACCAAAAATTGCATATTTATACTTCTGTTTGACTTTACAAGACTACTGGATTGCTTAGGAAAAATGTGTTGATGTTAATGCCACAAGTCATTAAAATTTTAAAGATTAAGAACTTTGATTTTCACTAGAAACATAATTAATGAAAACCAGTGTGGGCCCAAACCAAGCCTTTTAATTCTCTTTTGAGTCTGGTAATTTAAAACAAAAGTAACATAAAGAGAATCCTGACCCAGGTTCATTTAGCTAAAATAAGTTTAGGCCCAAATTTTTTTTCTATTAATGCTTCTTTCCACCATCCCACTCCCCAAAGAAAATCTTATGCAGCAATTAAAAATTTCATTTTTCCTTGAAAATGTCTGGTTCACTCACAGGGTATATTGACAAATAACTCATTTTCTACACAATTAATTATGGGAATCATTGTAATATGCTTTTTTAAAGTTTGTATTCTATAAAATAGGTTATCTATGTAAATTAAGAAGCAGCACACACCAAAGTAAAAAGCTTTCTCTTTTCATAATTTCAGCCAAATTTGGTCTTTGGGTCATATGTGCAAGCCTTTTTTTGCATTGTTCTGTTGAGTAATAGCAAGCCTTTTTCTGGCTGTCATGGAAAATGCAAAGCTAAATGATTGTAAAAATGCACATATTGTTATTTTATAAGGTAGATTTTTTAACTTGCAGTTTGAAATTTTGAAAGCATATTATTGTATGTTTCCTTTAATACTTTTTATAAATATATGAATAATCTTGCCAGCTCTTAAGTTATTGTGACAGCCCACTATCTTGTATTTCATTTTCAAATTTTGAAGACATCAATGTTGACATTACATTCTACTACGCATATTAGACTGTTCTGTTAAAAACATTCTCTCCATTAGATTAGCTTTGGCTGAAAAATACAGTTTTAGGGTGAATTTCTAGTCATTCGTCATTCAATAAGTAATTATTACTGTTGTTTAATTTCTTTTTCTTTCATCATTTTAAGCCCTTGCCTGACAGCTACATTTGAGTAGCTCAGTTGCTTCCTTCAGATTTGTTTCCTGGCTTCACACAGTTCTGTCTGATAACCCCATGTGCCCTAGATGGGAATGAATGCAGTACAGGGAGCAGCAATGCCTGTGTATAAGTTCCATGTGGATGCAAAGCACATTTGACAGTGACTCCTCCTAACCAATTAAAATAACATCTAGCAATGAATAAGACGATTTTCTTTGTGAGGACTCCATTTTCCTCTGCACCCAGGCCACTACAAAAGACAGCGGGTGATTGACTGTAGTAGCAAATATTAACCTTTGAAAATACATCTTTAAATAAATGTCTTGACCTTACTTGTTAAAAGCATGATTTGTTTTTAAACAGTTTGCACTACAATTAGTGTTCATTTTAAAATGAACTATTACCAGAATTAAAACTTAAGAAGTTTCCTCACAAGGAAGCTAATCATTTTCCCAGATCTGGAAGAAATAGCAAATAAAAAAGGTATTTACCTGTGACATCTGATCTTGACCAATATGTCAGTGTGTTAGATAATTGGGAAATGTTTAGAATAGTGCCTGTGGTGCTTTTGCTGATGGCCTGCAGTTGATGGCTGTCAATCATGTTGTCAGGACACTGGAGGAAGAAAAATTCTTTAATTTTCCTAAAACGAGTAAAATAACAAACAAGTCTATACTTGCACTCCAACTGAGCCACACACCTTAACTACATATTTTGAGTCATCTATATATATTATGAAAGATAGTGCTGTGAAAATTGAAGATGTTTTAATATCACAATTTGTTTTCCATTTCATTCTTCCTTTCTCCCCCTAAAAATGTATAAAACTGCAGGAGGAGTATGAGGAAAGGATTAAATCCAAAGGTAGAAGTGTATTTTAACATATAAGTTTAAAAGACTATTTTCTTCCTGGTGTTAAATCAATTTCTAACTATTGTTTTGAAGAAAAACTTTTGAGTTGATTTTTAAAACCAGAATATGATGAGAATATTTTTATAACCAAAATTATGACATGTAGAACTAGAAATTTTTTTTCTTGTTCTTACTAAAAGTGTATCTAAACCTTTAGCCATTCCCTACAGGGCTTCTGACAACACAATACTGTTTTCAAGGGGTTAGTTCAGGATAGTAATAATTATTTGTAAATTGAGAAACAGCTTTGATTCTTCAAAACTAGAAAAACCTGATGCACTGCAGTCATTTAAAGGCTAGCAAAAATAATACAATGCAGCCACACATTCTCAACTTTGTCATAGGTCTCTAAACACTTCACTTTTTTTAGTGCTATTGAAGGAGAATTACGTTCTTCTCATTTTGTAAAGTCGTAGTTAATTGGGTGTTTAAGAAAATGTTTGTAAGTTTAAAAAGCATTTATTCCTGCTTTATATCAGGTGATCGAGGTGTAGTTCTTTTTGGTTATCTGCTTCTGTTTTTTCATCAGCACAAATCACTGCAATTACACGGCCAGTAGAAGAGAAGAAGTCGATCAGGCATGATAAAGCCCAAGATAGATTAGTGTGGTGTCTCTATTTCTTAGTTTCTTATCTTAAAAGCCCATCCTTAGATACCTTTTTGTTCCAACTCTCTCATTTTTATTTGCTTGTTTTCTATGTCATTCTAATTTTATTTTATCCATTAAGGATGTCCCCAATGAAGGTGGGTATATGCTTTTATCATATTCTCATAAATAACATGAAAAGTATTTTAAAATAAAGGCTACCTGAGTGGATTTTATATTCTTTCTTACATGGAAAGTAGACATATTCCTAGAGGAAAAAGTAAATATGATGTTTGGGAAAGATGAGAAAAGATCATTTGCATTTTAAGAATGTTTTTAAGAACAGTGTGTAAATTTTAAAAATCAAGTTATAATGTTTCTCATTTTGTAGTTCCAACTGAAATTTTGAATTGCAGTATTTGACATCTGTAATATAACTTTTGTTTGTTTATTTTGAAGGCATACGATGGATTTGCAAGCATAGGAATTTCACGGTTATTGGAACCTTCTGATATGGTTTTGTTAGCAATTCCTGACAAACTGACTGTTATGACTTATCTTTATCAAATAAGGGCCCATTTCAGTGGTCAAGAATTAAATGTAGTTCAAATAGAGGAGAATAGCAGTAAAAGCACATATAAAGTGGGAAACTATGAAACTGATACAAACAGTTCTATTGATCAGGAAAAGTTCTATGCAGAACTTAATGATTTGAACCGGGACCCTGAATTCCAGCAACCTGGCAGCGGAGCAGTAGATTTCGTATCTCAGGATGATTCTGTATTTGTAAATGATAGTGGTGTTGGAGAGTCAGAGAGTGAGCATCAGACCCCTGATGATCATCTAAGTCCAAGCACAGCTTCCCCTTATTGTCGAAGGACTAAAAGTGACACAGAGCCACAAAAATACCAACAAAGCTCGGGAAGGACTTCAGGATATGAGGAGGCTGGAATATATTCCCATACAGATTCTACACAAGCACAGATTTTGTTGAGCAAGAAGAAATTGCTAAAAGTTGACACTTTAGAATTGAGTGACTTAACATATATCAGTGATAAAAAAAAAGATGCATCTCCACCCTTTGCTTGTGAGGAACTTGACAGGCAAAGGCATCATTCTCTAGAAGTTACTGATGGTAATTTGGAAGAAGAAAAATTGGTATCTTCTGGCTCCTCAGAGAGCAAGAGACTGGAACCTGAGTCTCCTGTAAAAAAATCAAGTTTATCTCCCACTTCTAAACTAGGATACTCTTACAATAGGGATGTAGACCTTGCAAAGAAAAAACGTGCTATTCTGAGATACACAGAGTCCGATTCTGATACAGATAAAACAGTTTTAAATCATTCGGACCATTCTGCAAAAACCACTCAGGTAAGAGAATTGACCAAATGTGCATCTGTAGTACTAGTCAGGTATGGCCCTTGTCTTCACACAACATGTTTGTACTGCATTATTGTAGGCAGGGACTGTTTTTTGTTTTTTCTTCATAAACCTACTGCCTTCTTCACAATAGGTGATTAATAAAGGTTTGTTATTACAAATGGTTGGAGGTGGAGTATGTTATGATTTGTCATAATGGGCATTTTTGAAGTGATGAATGTTTATCATGTTCTTCTGTTGTCTACAACTGCTAATATATGAAAACCAGCAACACAGGAAGCAGTTCTTCTTAGGATATATTCCTGTTCTCTCCAGTTAAAGTTAGTAATAATATTTTATAGTGTTACTGGAAGAACCCCTTTAGAGTGAAGGGCTAAGTTATTGAATCTTTAAATATTACTAGTTAATTGTCTATAGAAAGCAAGAGTATTTTGTATCTTATGAATGCATAAGAATAGCCTGAGAATATTTTTATTTTCCCCCTAATAAAAAGGTCGTATTGAACATGGTTTTCTTTTTTTTCTTTTTGTAAATTACCAAACTAAAACTAATTTTTCTCTCTATATCATTTTTCCTTTGTTTTTCATTTGCTTTGCTCAGGTAAATCCTGTCCCCCTCCCCCACCGTGTTTTATTCATGGTTAAAGTAAATCATAGCATTTTTCGGAGCTTGCCCTGTCTGATGTAGACAGTCTTGACCTGATCATTAATCTCTTGGCAATCACTGACCAGCTTAGCAACAGCTTTCAATATATTTGACTTTGAACCAAACCATTTCCTAACAAATCAACAGCCACAGCAACGTAATACAGGTTTGGAAGCTGAGAGTTCCAAAATAGTACCTTACACAGAGTAGTAATTCAATCATATTTGTTCATTGATTTATTGCAAAATTATTAGTGAATATGTTTAAGTACTGTTCAAGTAATAGTCATACATACATGCTGTTTTGTTGATGCCTTTTCTTATTATACCACAGTCATTTCCCAACATATACTCCCCACTACCACCACTGAACCCTCTCTTTGAACAAATAAATACAGTTAAGCAAAAACAGACACAGAGACCACATCTGACAACATATGCAATATTCCATACCCATAGTCACCCATCTTTTTATATCTCCCTAAAAAGGGAGGTGTATTTTATCCTCTTTCTTCCACAACCATGATTGCCCATTACATTTAATGAGTCTCAATACCTGTATTTTTTAAATTAATTTATTTATTTTTAGTTTTCAACAGTCACTTCTATAAACTTTCTCTGCCTTCCCCCCCAAGATGGTATGCAATCTAATACAGGCTCTACATATACATTCCTATTAAATCAATACCTGTATTTTTTTCATTTATATTATTGTAGTCATTTTATACTATATCTTGGTCTACTTTCTTCATGCTGCATCACTTCTTATGTTTCTCAGAATTCTTCATATCCATTTCTTGTGGCGCAGCAATATTCTATTACATTCATATACCACAATTTTGTTCAGCCATTCTCCCAATGAAGTGACACTATGAATATTTTACTACATATAGGGCCTTTCCTTATATGTCCAGTAATAGAATTTCTGGGTCAAATGATATGAAGTATTTAGTGATATTCTTATGTATATCCAAATTGTTTTGCTAAATAGACAGATTCCTAGCTCTACCAACATTGTCAATGTTGCTATCTTCCCACAGCTTTATCTAACATTGACTATGAAAATAGATTCTTACGGCAGGCTTCAGCATTATAGTCATCTAGAGTGCTTAGTGACAGCTGGCAATGGATTATTTTGAACTTGAATTCTTTTCTGGATTTACCACTAGCTTGTAGGACCTTTGGCAGGTATCATGACTTAAGCATCACTTTCTCCATCTATAAGTAAAAGACCTTTTTCAACCCTGCTCACTCTGGTGATTAAGGCAGCTTGTAGTCCACATCTCATTTAGCTCAGGATGTGTTAATGTATTGGCTAGGAATTGACGATGTAAATTTCTAGTTATTTCAGTCTTTGGAATGATAAAGGAGACATTATCTAGAAGGCTATAATGTGTCTGCCTAATAAACATCATGGGTTTTTTGTGATCTGTAGTCAGAAATAATTCAGGTTTGCCCTACTTCGTACAACCAAATTTGTTACTGTAAATACACAATCACTATTTAGGGGGAAAAAAACTCAACAGCCATTTACTACATGACCATAAAATCAATGAGGCCCAAATCAAGGCTCAGAGAACCTAAATGACTTGTCTGAGGTTACCTTTGGAGGGGCCCTAGGAAGAATCTGAGCCAACTTCAACATTTGATAAGTGAGGGGTTTAGGACATAGAGAGATCATGACATGCAACGGTCACACAGTTGATGGCAGAGGTGGGGTTAGAATCTAGTTTTTTTTTTTCTTCTTAAGTTCCTTCCATTATTTCACAGTGTACTTTGATCTACTTATTAGAAAATTTGATAACAAAGTTAAAAAAAAATCCACAACAAACCAAATATTATAGTCATTTTAATTACATATGTAACTAAAAGTTAAGTATCATTGTTGCTAGCTATGCTATTTCTCAAGTTCTCTCTTAGGCTATGAATTTTTGAGTAATCTTAAATATGTGATGCAGTTTGTTTAAGGAAAGTTAAAGTTAAGATATTAGCTGTCATGTCTGAGGAGAAAGGAGAAAATATAGACAGTGAAATAAAGAAGATTTGAAAATTCAGAACAATAAAATAGATGATAAAAGAGAATGTCAAATACTGTTGTCCCTTTTTAGGCGGTTATTCTAATAAACTAAACAAAAATCATATGTGTACTTGTTTGTATAACCTTCCACTTTGCTTTCTGTGATACTTGTACCTAAAACTTGCACTATACAATGGAAGAAAAGATATGTGTAGTGGATATGAGATTAGCCATAACGACAAACTGTCATGTAGCACTTGGATATGTTGGGAAGGAAAAAAGGAATTTATAGAAGGAACAAAAACCTACCCTACTTAACTTGGCACATACGCTATTGTTTAGAACAGGGGTTCGTAAGCTGGGGTCTGTGAACTTTTAAAAACATTTTATAGCTAGTACAATATAACTAAATGAAAAAAGAACATTAAAAAAACTGGAAAAATAAAATGCTAAATAAATTTTAAAAAGAATATTAAAAATAATGTTTGATATCCTTTGCAATCTTTTGTATATTTCATTCTATGCATTTAAAAATATTATTCTGAGAAGGGTTTCTTAAGCTTCACTAAACTGCCATGAGATTAAAAAATAAAAGGTTAAAAATCCTTGGTTTAGAGCTGTTGTTGAATAACTTATTTCTTTTTGGCAATTTGTTCCCGACATTCTTCAAAATATGTAGTACAGAATAAATACTTAATATTTTTCAGTAGCTCAACACAGAAAAAAGTTATAATTCTGATAAGATTTGTTTCATTTTAGGGAAGATAAAGGGTAGGGAAAGCCAGACTTCCAAAATATGATTGCTTTTCATTGACTCAAAACATGTGATTTAGACCATTGTTAAGTCTGAAGAATTTAAGCAGATTTTACCAGAATAAACACAGTTAAAATGTTTCAATCCTTTTTAAACTCTAGGTGAAGTTGATTTTTATTATACTAAAAATGAAATGGTTGCTAAATAAAGGAAGTCTTTAGTCACCATTCACAGATATTACAGAAAAATATATGTTTACCTAAAGTAAAATGTAAAAGAGATAATGGTCATTCTTTAAAACTGTAGGGCCTAAAAATTGGATTTAAATGTATTCCATTGTTAGAACATGCTACTTTTAGAAAACATAAAGAATTGGAGAAACAGTAGACTTATAGACACTATGCCATCTTTTGAGAATATTTCCATAAAGTTTAGTTATAACTAAATTATGATAAACAAGATTTAAGTGCTAAAGATAATTTCACTTATGGTAAAATGTGCTTATAAATGCCATAGTATATATTGAGCATGCTCTTACATCACACAGTCTCATAAAGTTGTCTTAATTCTGCCTTTTTATTTAGGTAGATTACCTGAACATTGATTAGTATGCGTGTATAGATTACATTTATGTATCTTTGCCACTAATTCTGCCTCTTTACTTTTAAGCAGCGAATATTATCAAGACAGGAAGAACTTAAGGAAAGAGCAAGAGTTCTGCTGGAACAAGCAAGAAGAGATGCAGCTTTAAAGGCTGGGACTAAGCAGATCACCAGTGCCTCCACCCCAGCGCGCAGTAAGCAGCTGAGCGATGTAAGCTTCATGGGTTGGAATCATTGCAATTAATTGTTATTTAATTATACCTCTTTCCCCCAAGTTAATTGTCTTCTTACAGCACATCACACAGTGAGAGGATCATAGTAGGCCCTCAATAAGTACTTTATTGATACCTAGATGGTTATAATTTTTAAACCTGTTTTTCTGACATAATGGCATTAACTAGGAGGAAAAAAATGTATGAATTTCATTCTTGTTTAATCTGTTCTCTAGATGACCATCCTCTCTGGAGAAGGAAGTTAGTTTGTATGTTGGTTTTTCCTCATCCCAGCTGCCTGTTTGCCAAATTGTAGTGCTACAACTAGTAATAATAATAGCTCACACTTGTATATTGCGTCAAGGTTTACAAGGCATTTTTCTTCATGCTAGCTCTATGAAATAGGCTTCATTAATTCCATTAATCTGGAATCTCATCAATCCCTCCAACAGTTGCAATTCATCCATGCTTCCTATTTTGTACAAATCGGAAGGACCTGTGTTCAAATCCAGCCTCAGACACTTACTATCTATATGACCCTGAGCGAGATAATTAACCTCTTTCAGCCTCAGTTTCTTCATCTGTAAAATAGGGATAATAATATTACTTTTCTCATAGGTTATTGCAAGGATCAGATGAGATAATATGTAAAACACTTTACAGACCTTGAAGTGCTATAAAATGCTGTCACATCATCATCATCATCTTATTATTGTTGTTATTACAACTCTTCTCCATGTCATTCCATAAATCCTCCCCAAGAGGTTCATTTATTATGCTAAGGACCATCCTCTGGATCCCTTGACATTGCATGGGAACTAGTGGCATGCATAAGGGATATACTAGTCATTCCTTGTTTATAATATATGACCAGCCCACTTCCTTTTTCTATCATATAATTCTTTGATATTTTACATGATTTTTATGAATGAGGAAACTGAGGCTCAGGGTGGTTAAATGACTTACCAAAACATTAAGTATTAAGATCCAGGATGCCAACCTAGGCCTTCTCAAGACTCTTTCTTCACAAGACCATTAATTTTTATGAATTTTGCTGATGTAAAGTAGGGACTCAAAAGGCTAAGTAGAATCTATTTCACTTGAGTCTCTAGCCCAAATAAAACATGGCCTCCTCTAAGCCTGTCTTTAAACTTCTTGGGTTGGAGGGAGTGGGGGGGACGGAGTCCCTCCTTAGGAAGTATTTGTTTTAGGCTCAAGTGTAGTTTTCATTTTGAGAAGTTTTCTTTTTCTCAGAAAAACTGATTTTAATTTGTGACTATTACTAAAAATTTCACCTTTAGTTAAGAGTGAAAGCATTTTGTGAATTCTTTTTGTACTTTAGCCTCTAATGAACTTATCATGTAATGTTTTATTTTATAGCTTTGTGTGTTTGTGTCTTATTCCTTCCCACTAGACTGTAAGCTCCATAATGAAAAATTAATAATTCGACGCCCTTTAAGACCCCTTAAAGTTCTGAGGGATTACATGTATTCTCTTTTCATATAAGAATGTAAACAGTTTAACCTTGTTTAATCTCCTGTAATTTCTGTCTTGTGTTTACTTTTTTATGCTTCTCTTGAGTCTTGTGTTTGAATGTCAGATTTTCTATTCAGCTCTGGTCTTTTAATCAGAAATACTTAGAAGTCCTCTATCTCATCAAAGTTCCATTTTTTCCCCTGTATGCATTATACTCAGTTTTCCTGGGTAAGTTATTCTTGGCTATAAACCTATTTCCTTTGCCTTTTGGAATATTTTATTCAAACCTCCTGCCCCTTTATGATGGTGACTTCTAAAATCGTGTGTGATCCTGATTGTAGCTCCTCAATACTTTTTTTTTTTCCTGGCTGCTTGCAGCATTTTTCTTTGACTTGTAAATTCTGGACTTTGTTGGTGATATTCCTATTCTTGCCCTGGATTTGTATCTGGACAAAAGTAGAATGATACTAAATTCAGCCCTTATCAACCATATGGAGAGTGCTTTTGCTTCATAGTGGCAGAATTGTAGGCTCCAAACTGCTGCTGTTTGTGTCTGAGCTGAACTTTCTCCTTTCTCAGTGCACTGTTGAGGGCCTTCTTACCCCAGAATGTTACCCCACTGTGCACATTAACTCTCTGGCCCAGAACTAGGTAATGGCTGAAAAAGCTGCCATTAAACACCTGTCTCCATCACAGTGGCCTGGTATGGGTCTGGTGAAACCCCAGTATATGTCTTCAGCTTCCTCTTGCCTTGGTGCACAGCTCACTGGAGCACGGGATATGCTCTTGGCCTGACCCTTCTCTCCAGTGTCTCCAAGATTCAGTCAGGCACATTTTCTAGATCTATTCAGAGGACATTTGTGGAGGGGAGCTCAGTTTCACAGTTTTTAACACTTTGCCATCTTGGCTGTGCCCTTCTAAGTGGCCTGTTCTCAATCTTCATTCTTTTTGACTTCTCTGCAGCATTTGGCACTGTAAATCACTCTGTTTTCCTTGATTCAGGGCTCTGTCCTAGACTCTTCTTTTCTCCCTTTATACTACTTCATTTGGTAGATGTGAGAATTATCAGTATAAATGTGATAATTAAATCCAAGGAATCTACTTATCTAGACTCACATCTCCAACTGCCTTTCAGACAACTCAAAATGGATGTCTAGCAGACATCTTGAACTCATTATTTTTCCACCTGCACTCTCCTCTCTTCCAAACTTTCCTATTACTCTCAGAGGCACAACCATTTTCCCAATCCCTCAGACTCTCAAACTAGGTACTGTACTCAACTTCTCACTATTTCTTATCCTCCATATCCAATCTGTTGCCACATCCTGTCAGTTTCAGCTTTGCAATATTTCTCAGATACACTCCCTTCTTTCCTTTGACACTGATGCAGGCCCTTGTCTCTTCACATCTGGACTACTGAAGTAACCTGATGGTGAATGTGCTTGCTCCAGTTTTCTCCCTACTCCAGTCCATCCCCCATTCAGTCACCAAAGTGAATTTCCTAAAGTTTAGGTCCAACCATGTCATCCTTACCCTCCTCAATAAACTCCAGTAGTTCCCTATAACCTCTAGGATCAAATACAAAAATCTCTATTTCGTGTTCAAGGCCCTTCACCTTCTGCCCTCTCTTCCAGTCCTTTTACACCTTACAGTCCCCCAAATACTCTTTGATCCAACAACACTGGCCTCCTTAATATTCCCCCACCCCCAGAAGACTCTCTGTTCTCTTTTCTGCCTCTTAGCTTCCCTGGCTTCCTTCAAGTCCCAACTAAAATCCCATACAGGATGCCTTTCTTGTTTATTCTAGTGCCTTCCTTCTGTTGATTATCTCCAATTTATTCTTTCTCTATTAAGTTTGTACTTATTGGTTTGCTTCTTGTCTCCCCCATTAGACTATGAGCTCCTTGAGAGCAGGGACCTTCTTTTGCCTTTTTTTGTATTCTCAGCATTTAGTAGAGTGCTTGGCACATAGTAGCAGCTAGGTGCCACAGTGGATAGAGTGCTGAACTTGGAGTCAGGAAGACTCATCTTAGTGAGTTCAAATCTGGCCTCAGACACTTACTAGTTGTTTGACCTTGAACAAGTTACTTAACCCTGTTGGCCTACAGTTTTCTCATCTGTCAGGTGAGCTGGAGAAGGAAATGGCAAACCACTCCTGCATCTGTGCCAAGAAAATCCTAAATGGGGTCATAAAGAGTCAGACACCACTGAAACAACCGAATAACAAAGGTACTTAAATGGTTATTGCTAGGCAACAGTGAACAAAACTAGAAGCAAAAGGTGGAGTTGCAGAGAAAATTATTGAGATTCGATGGAAGAAAGAAGTTAAGGACAATTAGAGCTATCTAAAAGTAGAATAGAACATATGCTGGGTTACACCTCACTTGAAAACTTCAAACTAATGCTAGGTGACCCCTTGTTGACAATGTCATAGGGATTTTTGGTCAGCTATAAATTACAGTAGATGACCTTTGAGATCTTGTCCAGCTCTGAGGGTCTGCAGATCCATAAAAATTGGTTATGAAGAGATTTCAGTTAGACTGTGTGTATGTACATTTCCATAGCTGTTAAAATATACATGTATATGTATGTATGGTTCTCTACTGAATTTATTTTTCAAAGATTTCTAGTGACTTCCTAATTGCCCGGTCCAGTGGCCTTTTTCTCAGCTGATCTCAGTTTCCATTCACCATGATATTACCGTAGCATTTAATACTGTGGACTGCTCCTTGTTCATGATACCTTCTTATCCCTTAGCTTAGAGGATAATATATTCTACCTATTCTCCCATCTCTTTAATCATTCCTTCTCTGCTTCATTATCTCCCTTATTCTTTTTGCCCCTTCACTTGGGTGTTTCCCAAAGTTCTGTTCTTGGGGTTACTCTCTTCATTATGTAACCTCCCTCATTTCTATGTCCTCAGCTACTGCTTTGATACAATTTAAGATTTCCAACCCAGACCTTTTTGTTAGAAACTCCAGACCTGTAGATCAGTTACTTACCAGACACTTCCACTGGATATCCTAAATAGTATCTTAACCCCAGGATGTTTAAATCTACCTATTTTTCACCAGTTGAATCATGTTACTATTACTGACTTCCAAGGACCTGGGGTTTGATTCAATCACAAAGATATAAACATCTTGTTGATTTATAAGATACTTTTGGGATTATTAAATACATCAGTTCTTTCAGCATAGAGCCAGGTGTAGAAGTTGAAATCACTACTGCAGGTGCTTAAACATCTCTTTTAATTACATTGTTTATCAGTTATTAACTTCCATTGTTTTCTTCAAAAACAAAAGGAAATATGCTAACATAAAAAGCTTTTAAAATAGATTCTATTTTATAATAGATAATAAGTAAATTATTTGATCATGTGAAGAAAAGAAGTGAAATGCCAGGAAGCAGAAACTCTTATTTTCAACCATAACTGAATTTTATGTGCCATTAAAATGGATAACGAACACTGCTCTGTTTAGTTTATACCATTTTCTAAAATTTAATCAATTTTCTTCTTTTC